TGCCAACCGTCCTTTTCCTCTCCCCTTTGTGCTGCAGGGTGACTTGGGGGGCCCACTGATCTGCATTGGTGTGCTTCAGGGAATCACATCCGGGGGCCACATCCCACGTGGCAGCCCCAGTATGCCTGCTGTCTACACCCAAACTGATTCCCTACCTGCAATGGATCAAAGAGACCATGTGGGTCAACAGCTGAATGCCTCTGACCTTCCCCTCCCCTTAGTCAAATAGAATACACAGCAAATTCTGGCATCATTTGTCCTTTCTAGGGACCTAGTTAGGGACCCACCCGGCCTGTGTCTTAAAGTGTGGAGTCAGGGGTAGAGACGGGGAAGACCAGTGGCTTTCAAATTGGGCCCCCCCCACCTCCAGGGGACAACTTCTCACACAGGTTCTACAGAGACACACTTAAGGCAGGGGTGGCCATGTTCTTGTGGGAGAGATGGGTGTCCACCCTAGAAGGGTGGACAGTGACATGTGGTAGATGCTCCCCATGTGGCACAGAGCAGAGTCGGAAAGTACAAAGCAGATGCATGCACACCAAGGACGGAGTTTAAAGCACAGCCATGAGTGAAAAAGTGTGAACACACAATGAGTCACGGAGCATAACAACCTTACACAAATTACACTATGCGCCCACGATACTCGTTCTGTAGAGTGCAGTCAAGTAATGATGCCCAGGGAAGAGGCCAGAAGGGGTGCCTGTGGGGCGTGGGAGTGGATTATGGGTATGAGAAGGAATCATTAGTTTTTAGTCGAGGGTTTGAGTCAATGAGTTGAATTTAAACACAGTGGAGGTCTGAACGTCAGCCCCCATCTCAGTTCCACCTACAAGCAATTCCGTGCCAAACCGTCTCAACCCCCCTCCAACTTCCGCCGGAAACCCTTTCCGGAACTGAGGAAGAACACGCCCTCTTCTACTCAGGCCCCACCCTAGAGACGAAGCCCCGCCCCGCCAAGCCCCGCCCCCAACTCAGGCCCCGCCCCAAGCCCTACACTCCGCTTCAGGAGCACCCACAGGGGATGAAGTGGAGTCTCTCTTCCTGCAACATGGCCATCTTCTAGGGTGGTCCGCACTCCGTGCCATTAGTGATGGGGCTTTGGCGGGGCCCTGGCCTGGACTCCTAGAGGAGGAGTCAGAGCAGAAGGGGGAGGAACCGGGGCTCCGGGGGCGGGGCCAGGAGCGAGGAAGGTTCAGGAAGGTGAGGCCTGGACAGTCTTCAGTCAAGAAAGCTATACGTTGGGACCCCTCTTCTGCACCTCTCTCCCTACACACACCTCGCCTCTCCCCCACCCTCAGACACAACAGTTGCGAAAGCTGCCTGGGTGCACACAGCATCTCACATTCACACTCCTTCCCTCCCCAACATGGAGCCTCTCTGCCCATGCAAGAGTTGTGGGGGAAGTCTCAGGCTCCACCGAGTCCTCAGGTGAGTGTGAGGCCGTTAGCTCAGGTCTGTCCACCCCCCACCTCACTCTGTTCTTCCGCTGTGTCCCAAGAGATCTCTGGGTGGGGAAGGGCAGTAGGAAGGGCACCTCATCCTGGGCCCTGAGTCTTTAGCCCTGAGACGCGAAGCCTCGAGACACAGAGACAGGAATGTGAGACAGCCGGGAGGAAAACAGAGTGTCAGCAACAATTAGGAACAGGGAAGATGGCGTGCACAAATCAAAGAAAGAGAAACACACAGTGAGGTTCAGAAACATGGGATTCAGAGAGAAAGAGACGAAAAGGTAAGGCGAGCGGCCTGGGTGGCGGAGTCGGTCTGCCTTCGGCTCAGGTTGTCGTGATCCCAGCGTCCTGGGATGGAGTCCCACATAGGGCTTCTTGCTCAGTAGGGAGTCTACTTCTTTCTCTGTCTGCCGCTCCCCCTGCTTGTGCTCTCTCTCTCTCTGACAAATAAGCGAATAAAATCTTAAAAAAGAGAAAGGTAAGGCAAGAGTGTCAGAGCTGGGACAAATCAGGTGATGGAGACAGAGAGCAGGACAGGAGAGCCGATGGATGCTGCATCTGGAGGATACAGAGACAGCAAAGACAGAAAGAGAGAGAAATTACCAAGCCAGAGATACAGACTCAGACTCACAGATGGAGAGACAGAGACGTCAGAGACCCAGAAGGTGAAGTGGGGGCCAGAGAGGCAGGACACAGACTAGCCTGTCACTCACTCACCTGGCTGATCTGGGCTGGGCTGGGTTCCAATCTGCCGCTGCTTCCTGGAGCCACAGGGAGGCTTACAGGTTCCTCTCCACAGGCTCCCCCACCCCTACAACTGGTGGACACATGCCTTGGGGGGTCAGAATGCTGCTCTCTTCCATTCCACAACCCCCCAGCCCACCCACCTCCTGGACCCCCATCAGGGTGTTTAGAGCATGGGTTGGGGAAAGGCACTCTGAGAGTGAGTTCTGACCCAGAGCCCCAGGCTGCTCTCACCTCCAGCTAGCACCTGCTCTTCATTTCTGGAGGTCTCCCCACCTCAGTCTCCTTTGTGTTAGGCTTATTGGCTATTTTTTTGTCTAACACCTTGGCTCCTTTATATTCACCCATTCTTTCTAATCTAATTATTCAAAGCTATAAATCTGCTGCCCCCCACAAGTTTTCATATGTCACATTTTTATTGCTCAGTTCTAAGTTTTTAAAAATTTCCATGATGATGACCTTTTCATCCATTTTTGTCCATTATGATTTAATTTTTATCATGAATTATTCAGATGAGTGGTTGTATTTTAACTTCTGTGCATACGGATATTATGTTGATGTGCATATTGAATTTTAATTTTCTTGCATCGTGGCTGGAGAATGTGGTCTGTGTGATACCAAATCCTTTGCATGATAGTGGCATTGAAATCTCACACTTCCATGGGATGAATTGCTCCATTTCTCCCTGTACTCCTACCAATTTTTATGTTAAGTATATTCAAATTTGGAATTGTATTTATTATAAAATTTTTATGAAGAATTATTACTTTGTAGTGACCCACTCTGCCTAGTAATGGTTTTAGTATTAATGCCTAATTTGACTGATAACAGTAAAGCTACCTTACCAGTTTAGGGATAATATTTCTTGGTAAATCATTTTCTGCTTTCAACTTTTCCATGAGCTTTTGGTGTGTCTCTAATAAATAGCATAGAACACTTTTACATTCTAATCTGAGTTCAACCAATTGCATTTATTGTGATTATTGGTATATTTAGTACTATTAATATCATCTTTTAAATTACTGTTTGTCTTGCTTTTTTTGTGTTTCCTACCTTTAGGGGATCGTATAATTTTGTGGGATTTTTTTTCCCCTTCGTTTTTCCCCTTTCTGCGTGTTTGGACTTAATTTACACTATTTCTACTCTTCAGTGGTTACATTTTATATTTTATTACATTGTATTTTCCTTGTCATGAAATTCAAAATATTTTATAATTTCCAGTATGGTTTCTTCTTTGAGCTGTGGGTTATTTAGAAGTGTATTTCAAAAATTAAAACATGTGGGTGGCTCAGTCGGTTAAGTGTCTGCCTTCAGCTCAGGTCATGATCCCAGGGTCCTGGGATTAAGAGACCTGCACTGGGCTTCCTGCTTAGTGGGGAGCCTGCTTCTCCTCTACCCCTCCTGGCTGCTTGTGATCTCCCTCTCTCTGTCTTTCTCTCAAATAAATAAAAATCTTAAAAAAAAAAAAAGCCATGTGGGGATTTTCTGCATTATCATTTTGTCATGATTTCTGGCGTAATTACCTTGTGGTCAGACAACATACTCTGCATATTATAACTTTGAGAATTGTTGAGACTTGCTTCATAGCTCAGTATCTGGTCACTTTTTGTAAATGTTGTATGAAGTTTTTTTAATTAAGGTATAATTTTTTATTGAGGTATATACAGTGCAATGTATGTGTCAAGTGTACCAGTTCAATGAGTTTTGATGAATGCATGACCCCCGTAACCCACACTCCTGTCAAGTTCTAGAAAGCTCCTATCACCTCAGAAAAGTTCTCTTACGTCACTTCCCATCGTTGCCACATCTACTCCTCCTTCCCATCCCATGATTAGTTTTGTCTGTTCTAGAATTTCACATAAAAAAGGAACCATACAGTGTGTAATATTGTGTGTCTGGCTTCTTTCACTCAGCATAACGATTTTGAGACGCACCTCCATTGGTGGGTCTATCAACAGTTCATTTCTTTTTATTACTGAGTAGGGTTCCATTGAATGAATATGTCATAGTTTGTCCTTTCCCCCATGTACGGACATTTGGATTGTTTCCAGTCTGGCTATTATGAGGAAAGCTTCTATGAGCATTCTTGGCTAGTCTATTTTTTTTTTTTTCATTGCTCTTACATAAATACCTAGGGGTGGACCTGCTGGCCGTGGGACAAATGTATGCTCATCTTTCTCAGAAATGGCCAAACTGTTTTCCAAAACAGTTGTACCATTTATAGTATTTCACTTTTAGTTATTTCACTTCTTACTTTATGTATTTTGAGGAGTATCTCCCGAAGACCAGATTCCCAAATAATATATTTATTAATATATTCTTGAATAGACATTCTTAGCAGTATATTCTTATGGATATACTTTATCAGTGAAGAGTATGATAACAATTCCGAATATTCTTGGGCCCTCAGTCTCCCCCCATCTCTGCCCTCAGTCTCCATATTTCTCCATGATTCTTCCCACCATGCCCCAGTGACAGCAGGAGGGCTCTGAGGCAGATTCAGGTGAAAAATCCTTCAAATGCATTTAAGAAGACAAAACCAAAACAGGTTAACCAAAGCAAAAAAAGAAAAAAAAAAAGAAAAAGAAAACTAAGCAAGAAAACCTCATTAATTTGTCATTTGCTGACTTGACTTTTTTGAAATTGGACAACATCCACAGAATCAATTTCTCTTAACGTCTCAAGCATATCTCCTCCCTTGGGAATCCAGTGGCCCTCCTGGGGGAAACTAAGGCCCAAGGAGGAAAAGTTATTTGCTGGAATCCTGTGAATGGGAATGGAAGCAAGGACGACAGTTCAAACAGAGCCTGTGTTTCTCTTAGATTTTATTTCTGGGCTTGAGATAAGGGAACAAAAAGGTGAAAAACCAACCTTCTCTGCTACTGGTAAGGCTGGACCAACATTTTGCCACCAGGGGGCACTTTGTACAGGAAAAGATTCTTTGTGGGATTGGATTCCTGGGGCTGAGGGAGGAGGGGGTTGGGGGTCTAGACTCCTGGGTCTCAGGGAGGAAAGCACTGGACACCCAGGGTCCTGAATCCCTTCCACAACATATATTGGGGGCTCGGTTTCTTGGGTCCAAGTTCCAGGAGTTAACTGTCCTGGATGGTTTTCTGTATCCAGTCAGTGAACTTGCAGAGGTTGGTGTAGACGCCTGGCATGTAGGGTAGGCCACACTGGGCTTGTCCAAAAGACACGAGGCCCTGCAGGGACCCGTTGCAGACCAGGGGGCCCCCAGAGTCACCCTGGTTTTGGAGAGAGGAATGGAGAGAATCCAAAACACAGAGAGGGTGGAGACAGATTGAGATCAGAAAGGAACCAAAAGACACCAAGAGACAAAGACAGGGAAATAAAAGATAGCAACGCACACCTTTGAGGTCCCATCCAGTGCCCAGACTGTAGGGAATTCTGCTCCCCTAGGTCCCAGCAGCTGTTTGATTCTCCTGGGTTGTTGTTATTCTGCCTCTCTCTTTTTGTTTTATCTCCCCCTATGGCTTGTTTCTCTGTCTCTGATTCCCAAAGTCTCCATGCCTCTCTGCATTTCTTGGTATATTCTGTTTTTCCCCCCATTTCTCTTTGCGTTTCATCTCTAGGAGTCTCCCTCTGTTTCTCCCTGAGGTATTTCTATGTGTGTGCGCGCGCGCGCTCGTGTCTATGACTCTGTTTCTCCATCTCTCTATCTTCCCGTGTCTGTTTCCTCCCGCGTGCCCATCCCTCCCTTCTCCATCCCCCCGCCCCGCCGTCTCCTCCTCCCTCCCTCTCCCCTCCCCATCTCTCACTTTGCAGGAGTCCTTCCGGTCCTGTCCTCCGCCAGCGCAGAACATGCTGTGGTGGTACACGGGGGCATAGAAAGCTTTGCAGATCTCCTCGGGCACCACCGAGATATTCACGCACTGGAGCACTTGGGGCTGCCTGCCTGCGACGCAGAGTCTGGGTCAGCCCCCTCTGGCTGGGAGGAGAACCCTTCAGGGAGGGCGGACGTACTCACACTCAGGAGCTCACCATCAATCAGCTGACCCCAGCCAGAAACGAGGCAAGAATTCCCAGCTGCTGGGCACTGGGAGGCGATGCTGATGTTCCGGATGGTATCAGACCCGGACACCGATTCTTTCAACTTGATGAGCATGAGGTCGTTGGCGATAAAGGGTTTGTTGTACTCTGGGTGCTGTATGGAGAAGCTGGCCTCCATCATCTGGCTGCCTGGCTCTTGGTTGGCCTCCAGACTGTGCAGTCCCAGCCCGATTGTGTAGGAGCTGAGGGCCACGGGGGACGGGTTAGTTTTTTTTTTTTTTTTTTAAAGATTTTATTTGACAGAGAGAGAGAGACAGCGAGAGAGGGAACACAAGCAGGGGGAGTGGGAGAGTGAGAAGTAG